CAGAGAAAAAGAGAAAAGAAGGAACAGGAAAGAAAAAAGATATGAATGTGTATATATACACTTAAGACAGCTGAGATGATGGTTCAAATAATTCTATTAGTTCTTGGATCCAAACAGTTCACAGTCATAGGATTAGATCAATTTTGCATGTCTCTATCTGGAAATCTGAATAACTCTTTTGAAGATAACTATGCAAAATAACAACCTTAGTTTTGTTCCTACCACCTTGTTTTGAAGGCCCATATTGTTATTGTTTGGGGCTCTTGGCTATCTTATTCATTTATCTTTGTTGTTTTTGATTTTTCTTGTATTTGCTTGGTTTTGTTTTGTTTTTCCCTCTAACACAGAAAGGATAGATGTACATATATAGGCTTCCACATTCCTAGAACTTCTCCTCAAGGAATTATAAGAATTGATTTTGTTAAGTGTAATGGTATGAACAACTACTTTTAAGAAAATGAGACATTATGGTAGCCATTGCTTATTTCCTATCATCTTGTTTTGAAGTCCAATAATGCTTTTATTCTTTGTTTTGATTGGTTTTAGTCTGTTTTCTATCATTTGATTTCAATATGGTGAAGGTATGGACAGCTCTTTTGAAGACAAGAGACATTATGGTAGCCATTGTTGATTTTCTGTCGTCGGGTTTCGAAGGTCAGTAATGCTTTCACTCTTTTGTTTTGATCAGTTTTATACTGTTTTCTTTTGCTTGAATTTAACATGTGTGAAGAAGAGGAGACATTGTGTTAGCCACAGTTGATTTCCTGTGATCTTGTCTTGAAACTACATGTTGCTTGCATTGTTTTGTTCTGATCTGCTTTGTTCTGTTTTGTTCTTTAGAATTAAAAAAAAAAAAAAAAAGGATTCAGGATTCCAAAGTGCCGTATTATTATGTATTGCTTCTTTCTTTTGGCAGGACAGGGGATCAACCCAGTCCTTTGTTCATATTAGGAAAATTCCCTTCCATTGAACTACATCCCTAATCCTAAGGTGTCACTTTCTGAGCCCTAACATTAGCAAAGGAATTTCTGAGAGCAAATAATTTTAAGGTAGTTATTAGAATTCCATTGACTTGGAGGCTTCTGGGAAGATGACAGAATCATAGCAGCAGAGAAAATAGTATCTCTGAGAGTCTCCATTCAGATGCTAGAATATAGCATCATGAGGATGACAAGAAGGGAAGTGGGCCCCTGGACCCAGGGAAAATTTGAAGTGGGAATTGAAGCCAACAGAGGGAGAGGAGAAAAAAAAAAAAAAAAAAAAAAACTTCAGTGAAGAAGAAGGCAGGAGCTGGTGGTGCCTTCTCCCTGAGACAGGACCCACTACACAAGATAAGTAGTTCAAACCTGCGATCCATGGTCACAGTACAATGGCTGGTGACCCTGGAGGCCTCTGCAGGGAGATGTTGCAGTAGAGGGGAGCAGTGGATGTGGAGGACAGCACTGGCTGGCACTCGGTTTATCATTTGCTAGGCTGTATTTGATGCTATTGATGCTACTATAGCCAAGCTTGACATAATTATTCTAAATAGCTGTTGGTCCTGGTATTCTATGACTGAGATTAACCAAGGGGCACAGAAAGTACTGTGGCACAGTGCCAAAGAACAGGTCCTAGGACAAACAAGCAACAATTTCTCATCTCTAACAAACTGAGAAGGTAAGATCTTCCAACAGACTCAAAACCCAAAAACCAGCTACACCTGGAAGATACTTCAGAGACGTAATCATGACCTAAGAGTCCTAAATACTACCAATAAAGCCACCCACCAGAGGCAACTTACAAGCATCATCCCAGGAATTAACTAAGTAAAAAAAAGAAAGAAAGAAAGAAGAGAGAAGACACTTAAACAAGAGGCAACTCTGGACATCCACTTCACCAAAGACAAACCCGTGGGCAATGAGGTGGGACAATCCTAAAGCCCCCTTCCAGGCCTCTCTGCAGTGGTAATAACAAAGCAATCGAATGAGGCTCTGGGAAAAAATGAAATCAGAAATGATTTCTCAGATAACTACAGAGATTATCAAAATACACACTATGCTTAGTGATGTTACAGCAGACACAGACAAAAAAATAGACGAGACTAAGAAAATTATGGAAGCTCAGATAGGAACAAAATGGAATCCATAAAGCACATTCAAGCAGACATTCAGGAAAACAAAAACTCCACTGATAATATTCAAAGCAGATTAGTCCAATGTGAGGACAGAATCTCAGATATTGAAGACAGTCAGAAACCAGGAAAAGAAAGATTTCTCAAAAATAGCAAGGGAGCATGAGAAAGCAATCCAGCAGCTGCTAGATGAGACAAAGAAGAGGAGCTTAAGATTAGTTGGAGTCAATGAAACACAGGAGATCTCACAAATGACATGAAAAAATTGTTCATAGACATCATGGCAGAAAACCTTCCCGACAAAGGAAAATAATTTAACATACAGATAAATGAGGCACATTGAAATCCAACAAGCAAAGATCAAAAAAAAAAAAATCTACATCCAGGCATATGATACTCAAGATTCCAGAAATTCAGCACAAGAATAAAACCTTAAAAGCTGTTAGAGAAAAGAAACAAACCACTTGCAAAGGAAAGCACATCAGAATTACAGCTGATTTCTCAAGCCAAGGAGACCTTAGAGTGAAGAACTCCAAATTTCAACCCAGACTGATGTACTGCTCAAAGTATCTGTCAAAATTGATGGAGAAATAAGATATTTCCATGACAAAGAACATCTGAAGAAACTTATGACCAAAATGTTCTGAAGGGTACTCTAGAAAGAGATAATAGGGACTACAGTTCCATGAACCCCAACAGAAGGAATCCACCCGAGAAGGCAAATAATTAGAGGGAGGAGGGAAAATGGGGGGACCAAGAACAGGATAATAACACACTAACTCAATACATTTCAGTTCTAACCATCAAGGTTAAAGGTCTCAGTTCACCACTCACAGGACACAGACTGACAGAATGGATCAAGAAGCAAGATCCAACAATAGACTGTGTACAAGAAATACATTTAATTCAAAATTAAATTCATACACTGAAAGTCAACGGATGGAAAACAGTACACAAAGACAAGACAGGGAACATCACAATAATTGACTTGAAATCATACTATAAAGCTACTGCAATGCTGGGGATTTAGCTCAGCGGCTTTAGTGTCTGCTTGACTTTTTGAAGTCTCTGTTTGAATTCCCACTTTACATGTTCCATTTTTGTATCTTGAACAACTATTTGTAAAACGACAACATCAACTAGTGATTTCTTACTGTTTTTTTTTTCTCTGAATGTATGTACTATTTCTACCTATTTTCTGTTTTGTTTAATCTTTCTTTAAATAAAAATTTTTAAAAAATCATCAAACTGACTGCACTTGTGTGGACCCATCCAGAATCAGCTTTCTGGGAAACTGAACTGAAGGACACCCACCCAGTGTGTGCTGGAAAGTTGTTGGTGCATCAGGAAAAACTCACACATTTTGGTGCCAAAATTTGGTAAGTGTTGAACCATCACAGGACAAAACAGTTAAATAGTGCTTTTCCTAATAGAGCAACTTATACATTCCTTCTGGTTGTGTCTTCCTAAAGCGCAAACGTTTTCTCTGTAGCTCAGAACTCTTAGCAACCTTCATTACCTAACAACTGAAGTGTAACCTCAGTAATCCTGACTTGCTGCCTTTCCCACTCACAGAAAGTGAGCCAGGAGGGGCAGCGACACCTTCCTGTTGGGTGCTCACATCAAATGGGGCCTTCACAATCCCTTTGAAAGGGTACTGACGTACAACTAAAGAGTCTAATGGAGGGCTGGGGTTCAATTCCAGGTACCAAAAAAAAAAAAAAAAATCTAATGGCAAACACTCGAAAGCCAACCTAAAGCAACAACCAGATCTATTACCTGCGCATCAACGTGGACTCAAAAATACGTTGCATAGAAACAACATAAAATAGAATATATGATTAGGAGAAGCTTTAAGTAAACACTTAAAAACACACCAGGCTTAAAAATGGACAAACTGGGCCTGGTGACACAGGCCTGTAAGGCCAGCACTCAGGAGGCTGAGGCAGGAAGGTCATGAAATCAAGCCCAGCTAAGGGACTTTAGTGATTTAGAAAGTGTCTGTCAACGTACAATATAAAAATGAGGTGTGATGGAGCTCAGGGCCACACCCAAGCTTCAGTCCTCAGTGCTGAAAGCGGGGGCCTCTAGAAAAGGATACTAACCCCCAGTGGGACTTACCACTGGGAAAGCAGGGTTGGCTGGGCCACGGGCTTCCTCCACACCTGTAGCTTTTTATTTCTTTTAAAACTGCATAAAATACATGAAGCAAATAGAAAAAAGGTTAAAATTTTTAGTTCTGTGTGATAAAAATACAGATATGTATTGCTTCATGCTTTGTTTTCCTGTATTCTAAACATTTTAAATAAAACTAAAGTGTACATACCTAGCAGAAGTCCTCCTGATGGCATATAGCTTAGCGGCACAGCACCTGCCTGGCAAATGCAAGGTCCTCACATCTATTCCCACTGCCAAAGAACAAAAGTTCTCTACATAAATCCCTTTATTGATTTACAAATGATAGTACAGGACAGAGTGGGGAGTGGGAGGAAGTAAAGACAATTAGGATGTATTATGTGCGTGAACCAACTCCCCTCTATGAATGCACTGGTCATGTACTGCAAATGTGTACCAGTAAAACTAAAAAATTTTAAAGTCAGGTAAGTTCTCAGTGGTCGGCCTTGATATTACTACTTTGTATTCCATTAAAAAAATTCCAAAACTTTGCACTGGAGGCTTTAGAACATTTAGTAACTCTGTGGTTTCATAGGTCATGTTTCAGACATCGCAACAGACCTGAACTGTTGCCACACAGACCACAGGGACTAAACTGGGGCGTGAGGGGCTGGTCCCAGCATGACTACACACCCATTAGTTCACCCTCGGCCTCCTCCTTCCCAAACCAGTCAGCATATTCTCTGAAGGAGACACAAAATTTGCCCTGAGCTGTCCTGTTATCCCCGCCCATCCTTCTCTTTTTAGAGATGAAACATTCTATGGGTGGGACCACGGACACCTCTTTAAAAACCCCAGTCTCCACGCTTGCCTAACATTGCACCCTGCTCCTGTGAAGATGGAAGAACCTGAAAGGATAGTTGGAGGCCTGAGCAAGGCCAAACCTGCTACTCCTGAAATCCAAGAGATCGCAGATAAGGTGAGCTGATGCATCTCAGAAAGAAATCCAATCAAAACCTCAGTCTATAGTATGGTCCTGGGGTTAGAGCATAGATGAACATGGAATCCAGCGCAATGCTAAGTGTGTGGCTTTGGGTAACTGAAACTGGAATACTGGGCTTTTCAGATGAAAGCTTGAATGATCCCAGCACTACCAGAGTGACCTTCACCGAGTCACATTTCTTGCTGATACCTCATTTCCGCATTTGTTAAAGGAGGTTTGCACTGGAACAACTCTAAAGCCTTTATACTTCTATGTCTGATTGGAGAACTACTGATCAGTTAGTTATGAATGTTTCCACCCTGTAGTAAAGCTCTAAAGTCATTAATCAAATTGTTAATTTGATGATATTCAGTGCTCTGCAGGGAGAGTTTTTATGTATGTATGTATGTATGTATGTATGTATGTATGTATGTATTTTATTGAGAGGAGTCAGGAACAGTACTGTAAAGGTGATCACTTACAGACTTCCTTCACATTTGCCTAAATAGATGGTGTTTTAGTCTCTTCAATAGAGAGTAATTAAATTAGTAGACAAGAGAACTAGCATGACCTCTAATGCCAATAGGCCCCCAAATTGATTATGAGAAAAATAGAACTCAGTATTTTTAGCAAACCAAGAAATTATAAATGTTGTTATACTAGGTATCACCTGCGTAGGTCACTATGATGCGTGTTTTTAAAATTTAATTCCAGGGAGGAGGCAGGGCAAATTCAAGACGAGTCTAGAGTATGTTGTACCATCAAAGTAAGGAAGTGCTCATGAAGTGACAGAGCTGTGTTGTCAGGACAGCAGTTTGAAGGAGATCCAGATGGCAAAATCTAGGGCAATTTAATTCCCCCCAAAAGAAAACTAATTATAACTATAGAATTAAAGAAACATACAGGAATCATACACTGTTCAATGTATGAATTGGAGAAAGGGGATAGTCTTCCTTACAATAGAATTCAAATTAATAAATATATGAGAAATGATAGCAAAAATCACAGTTTGATTTTACCATACCACTGTAGTAATTATTATAGGCAAGAAGCATCAGTGGATGCTCAACTGCAGATGACAGCATGAGAAAAAGATAGTCACGTGGTCTGGCTGTGTCTCCTTGCAAGGCTACATTAACTATAAAAATAGTAACTCTAGGGTTAAGCCTGGCAGATGTCTTTGTGTTAACATCAACAGTGGGGAAATGGGAGTTCCTGAGAGGGGCCACTGAGAGCCCAGTTTTTGCTGTCCCTGCCAAAAATGTAGGTGACTAACATAAGGGGAACCAGACAGATCCAAAGGGAGCAGCATTCTACACACTAACAGTCCACTGTTATTCCCTAAGTGTCAAGGTCGTGAGTCACAAAGAATTAACCTTGGAATTAACCCACAGAGGAGGGAACTGAGAACACTTGGAAGTTAAATGTAATATAGGATCTTAGAGCAGTGGCATTTTTGGGAACAGCAAGCAAGATAATCCAAAGGTCTACAGACTGCTTAACAGCATTGCACCATGCATATTTCCTGGTTTTGATGATTACTCCCTAGTTAAGAAAAATGATAACACTAGGGGAAACAACGCTGTATATGTTTGCTAAAACTTTTAAACAATTTCTTTTAAACTTTAGCAATGATTGCCCTCATTTTTATCAGTCAAACACATATATAACTACTAGTGGAGCACCCCCAGTCACACTGTTACTATATTCCATCACCACACCGACTTGCCCTTAATTAGGCCTCTCCATGCTGAGTGAGGATTACAGGTGTGCATCACTACACATGGTTCTGTATACTTGGTTTCTTTTGAAATACCAAAGACAACTCAGGGATCTATCATCTCGGATGATTTTTAGGAGGATGTGGTACCCAGGTTTGTGAATCACACAGTGTCTAACATATCTCTGATAATTTGTTTCCCTTTTTCTCTTTTTAAGATTAAACCACAGCTTGAAGAAAAAACAAATGAGTCTTACCAAGAATTTACAGCCATCGAGTATAAAACTCAAGTGGTTGCTGGAACAAATTACTTCATTAAGGTCAGACTTCAACATCTACTTTAGCACTCAGAGATATATTTCTCTTTCATTGTAACATTTCTTCTTCCCTCCTAATTGTCCTCGATTAAGATGCCAGCAGGACAACATGCTAGTAAAAGGCTCTCAGATTTGGCAGAGGATCTCATACCATTCTTTGGAATTCATGAACTTCTTTTATTAATTCTTTCTCTCTCTTTTTCTTTCTTTCTCTCCCTCTTTCTCTCTTTCTTCTCTCTCTTTCTTTCTTTCTTTCTTTCTTTCTTTCTTTCTTTCTTTCTTTCTTTCTTTCTTTCTTTCTTTCTTTCTTTCATACCAAAATTCAAACTAGGGACCTTGCACCTGACAGGCGGGTGCTGAGTTGAGTCCCCAGCCCCATTTATGAATTGTTAACTTCTCATTTCTGGAAATCATACAGAAAAGAGCATCCATAACTGTTCAGGGTGAGCATGACCCCCAAATATACCCATGTGGACTGGCTGATTTGTTTCCCCCTTGACAACATGAGTATTTTCTTCCTTTAGGACTGGGTCACTGTATCATTTAATTTTTTGATATAGCCATAAAACTGATTTCTAAAATATTTCATTTTTATCTACTTATTTGGGCACTCATGATTAAAATAATGGCCTTTGCACTACATTCACAACTAGTTTTTCCTTGTTTTGTTATTTAGATTACATATAGTTATTTACATTACGTTATTTGCATTACATATAGTTTTGTTATCCTTTCTTATATATTTATTAATTTGAATTCTATTGTGAATAGAATGACCTATATTCACAACTAGTTTTTCCTTGTTTTGAGGCAGGATCTCATTAAATTGCCCCGACTGGACTCAAATATTTGATCCTCCTACCTCATCTTCCCAGAATGTGGGAACTTCAGTTGTGAGATGCCACACCTGTAACTTTTAATGTGTTTAAATAATCCACAGCTTTCAACTGTGCTTAGAGTGCCACAAGCTGAATCTACTGGGGTTGTAATAAGTTATTTACATTAGATATAATTTTAATTTATTAGTACATGTAGTGTATTGCAATTACATTGATCAAAATACTTAATGGGCAAAAATGGTTAAAATGCTTTGTATAGCACATTATTCAAGTTATTTCTGAATTCCACTTAATTTGGAAACAGAATAATACAGCTTTGGAGTAATTTACTCCAGCAACTTCTTGACTTTTATCTCTTTCTCTTCCTCCCACTCTTCTCCCCTCTTCCTCTCTCTCTCCCCCATCTTCCCTTCCTCCTCCTTCCCTTTCTCTCTCCCTCAATCTCTCCTTTCCCACTGCAATGACTCCAGCATTCCAGCCTCTGCCCCCAGGTCCCTCCTCTCTCCTGGAAGCCTGGTTGTAGGCTCCTTTGCTCTGGGCTGCTCTCTGGGTTGAAGGTCTCGCTAGTGAGCTGATGTCCTGTGCATCTTGGGTACTGATCAAGAGGCAGTGTGGGACAGGACTGAAGGCTGTGGTCTCAGAGCCTCCAGGTTTGACCTTGGCTGGACTTGTTCTACTAGTCCTGACTGAAAGCAGTGTGAACAGAGAGTTCCTCCTCTGAGCTTACTCCTCTGACCTGCACAATGCGGGTGAAACCCTGAGTCAGGCACAGTGCTAAGAGCTGGGCATGTCTTCTCTCAGGTAATGTTCACCAACAAGCAGTGTGAGGAGAATAAGCTAGTGCTGTTGTGAGGCTCATGAGAAAAGTTGGATCTGGGAAGGTGAATTAACTAACAAAGGTCACGTAAGAAGAACACAGTCAGGATTTGGGGACAGAGCATCATTGTGCTGCCTGTAGTCAGGTTTGCCAAGGTTGAAGCCTGCCCTGTGAACCAAATAAATACAAACAAATGAACAAATAAATGTAGCAAACAGTTTCCCAATTTATAAGTCAGAAAACAGAATCACCAAAATATAGAGGCTACCAACTTGACTCTGTTCCATGCATCTTTGAAACAAATGCATCTCGGGACTGTCATTTGTGCCCAAATTATAATTTTAAAAGTGCAACACGTAAACCTAGATGAGTGCTTCTTGCCGTGGCTTTCACTTCTTAGCTTTCTTGTATAAATAAGACTGTGGCGGGCTCATGGAAGCTGGTCGAGGATTGCTGCCCTAGAACTGGAATTGCCATTCCAGAAAGACCAATGGCAGGGAAGGCTTCACAGGTCTGTAGACCTCTCACACGATGCAGATCCAGATGAATAAACCAGCTTGTTCTTTTTCTCTTTTTTCAGATTCGGGTAGATAATGATGGCTATGTTCACGTAAGAGTATTTGAACCTCTTCCTGGACGAAATGAAGATGCTCTGCAGCTTTCTGGCTACCAGACTGGCAAAAGCAAGGACGATGAACTGAGTTACTTTTAGAGACTTGTTCCAAAGTGGTCTGATTCTTTGCACTGGGCACAGATGAATGATCCTTGTTAGTAAATGTGACCATCAATAAAGAGACATTCCTTTGCAAATGAATTCCCATTTTTATGCATGTGTTTTATTACACAGAAATTGCCTTTACATTCTCAAAATCAAAACTATTGTTTTAGAGCAGAAATTACATTCAAAGTAATATTAATTGAAATCTTAATCCCCATCCACACCCAGCAGGCAGGGAAGGTCTTGAGGTCTCAGACAGTTATTTAATCAATTTCCTATTCCTGGTGATTTCTGAGAACCTTCTCCACTCTTATATTTTAAGATTGAGTCAAATATTTTACAAAATGTATTTTTATTTTGAAACAATCTTAAACTCAAGGAAAAGCTGCAAAAATAAAAAATGGTCTTCCCTAGATACTTAGTTTGCTATCTATAGTTAGCCCCTGTCACCAACAAATACTAGGATTCCCCAATACAAATACCAGTGTACATTTCCCACAGCCAAGGACTTTGTTGCTGAAATATACCGTTCAGATTCAGGAAATTATCACTGATGCCTGCTAGCAGATAGCTCCTGCATACCATTCAAGTTTCCCCAATTGTCTCAGTAGTAAATTGACTTTTGGACAAAAACTCTTAATTGTCTCCTCTCATTCACTGGAGACCCTCATCAAGGCTCCACCAAACCGGTGGAGTTATGCACTCCTGAGTTATGCACTATCAGGTGGTACTTCTGGATCTGACTATTAATCAGTTTGAAGGAGACAGCAGCTTTCAACCCTGCTACTCTGCTGCCTGATAATGACCCCTCCTTGCCCCTCCACAAGTGTATTGAGGTTATTGACCACCTCATGGGGCTCTGACCGGACTTGATGGATGAGCCTCTATCCTGAGTTCCATCATACTTCTCCGCTAGGACCAGTTACATCTATCAAAGTAAGTGGGTGGCAGGAGCTGCCATTACCACAGAGCCTCAGGTTCTATGGGAACAAGCCTTGGAGCTGGGAACATTGGCCCAATGGGCTGAACTCATTGCCATCACTGAGGCCCTCAAGTGGTCAGAAGGTAAAGACATAAACATTTATACTGATAGCAGATATGCATTTGCTACTGCCCATGTTCATGGGGCCATTTATCAAGAATGGGTTTTATTGACTTGTGGGGGCCAAAAGATAAAAAATGCTCCTCAAATTTTAGTCTTTTTGCCGCCATTTGGATGACAAGGAGAGCTGCTATTATCCACTGTAAACCCCATCAAGTGGGAGATGATCCTGATATACAAGGAAACATCCTGGTAGACACCACTGCCCGAAAAGTGGCCTGATTTTATCAGTGAGGACTGAGGTAGCCCCAACATTACTGCTGGTCCAACCTACTCTGTCAGAGCCCATTTACACCTGAAAGGACTTGCATCTGGTGGTTCAACTTCAAGCAAAGCCTAATATCCCTGGGGGCCGGTACCAACTGTCTGATAAGTGAGTCCTCCTCCTCACGGCACTGGGACGTGAACTCATCCACCAGGCCCATGGGTCCACTCACCTGGGAGTATCAAAACTTGTTGTCCTCTTTTGAGGCCATTTCTTTATTCCTCAATTATCAAAGAGTACCTAGTTTGTGAGCATCAGATGCCCCCAATGTCAATTAGTGAACCCAAAAATGACAGCAACAAATAGAAACCACCCACTACCATGGAACCATGCCTGAGGAACATTGGCTCACCGCAGCCGCTTCCCAGGGAGGTGAGCTGCTTCCTTGGTTTCCCAGGGTCCTAAGTTCCAACATTGGGTAGATCTCAGGAGATACCGGTGGTTTTCCCCCGGGAAAGGCAGCAGTCTGACACACCACCACCACTTACCAGGGAAGCAACCTGCTTGCCTGGTTTTCCAGGATTCTAAGTTCCAACATGACATGAATCTCAGGACACACTAGTGTTTATCACCCAGGAAGGGGCGCAGTCTGACACACCGCCACAGCTTAGCAGTGAGGCCAGCTAAGTTACAACATGGCACAGATCTTAAGAGACAGTGGTGGTTCTCCCCCTCGAAGGGCCAGAGTCTTTTCTAGGGACTTGTATAGAGTGAAATCATGAAGTTAGATGGGTCCAATTTGGAGAACAATGGGAATTCACCAGGTGGGCATAAGACAGGACAGAACAGTGGTCAACCAATAAGATTAATTGCTCAGGTAAAATTGATTAAATTAGGAACAAATAGTTGGGTGGGTCACATAGTAAGCAGGCATGTTTAACAGCAATGACTCTTCCTGTAGGTGGTGGGATGCTGACTCCTGACTTACTCAAGGTGAAAACAAACTATTAAGACTGTGGATCCTTAGGATGTGTTTGTATTTATCTTCCCTTTTGTGTTCACAGCTGGCCCACAACAAGAGGTGACTATCTCTTGCAAGGCTGCAAGGTATCTGAATTGCTCTGGCTACTTTGAGGGTTCAGCCCTGTCTGACTGTCTATAATATTTCTTTTTTTTTTTATTTGGAAAAGAACAAACCCAAATGAGAAAGAAAACAAAGTGGGATCAATCAAAACAAAAGAATGGACATAGCACAAGATTAAAACCACTATATAAGGTAATCTTTTTCCCCACAGCTTCTCCAGTATTTGTTGTTGGTACTTTTCTTGATCCTGCCCATTCTTTCTGGAGTGAGATGGAATCTCAGTGACGTTTTAATTTGCATTTCTTGATGACTAACGATGATGTACATTTTTTCATGTATTTATTTGCCATTTGTATTTCCTGATCTGAGAACTGTGTATTCACCTCAGATGCCCATTTTTGGACTGGGTCCTTGAGTTTCAGGGATCTGACTTTTTAAAATTCTTTTTTAGATAAAAGTCCTTTGTGTGAGGGACACTTCACTAAGATTTTTTCCCACTTTGGGGGTTTTCTGTTCACTATGCTGGAGATTTCTTTTGACATGCAGAAACTTTTTAATAAGTTGTGATCCCAGTTATTGATTCTGGGAGGTAGTTCCTGTGTGGTTGGATCCTTGTTCATGAATTCTCTACCTACCCCGAGGTCTTCAAGATGTTTACCTACTTTTTCTTCCAACAGATTTAATGTTTCTGTTTTAATATTCAGATATTTGATCCATTTAGATTTTAGTTTAGTACATCATGATAGCATGGGTGTAGTTTTAGTTTTCAGCATAAGGAGAGCCAATTTTTGCAGCAACATTTATTAAAGAGATTGTCATTTTTCTAGTGAACATGTTTGGCCCCTTTATCAAAGATAAGGTGGTTAAGTATGTTGGTAGTTGTAGTTGTATCTTCTAATCTATTTCATTGATCTTCAGATCTATTTTTATTCTAGTACCATGTTGAATTTATTACAGTAGCTTTGTAGTATAAGTTCAAGTCAGGGATTGTGATACCTCATGCCTTGCCTTTGCTGCTTAGAATTGCCTTTGCTACTCTAGATCTCTTCTGGTTCTATATGAATTTTAGGAGTAATTTCTCTAGATCTAAGAGGTATGTTGATGGTATTTTCATTGGGATCGATTTGAATCTGTATAACAGTTTTGGGAGAATTGCCATTTTCACAATGTTTATTCTACCTATCCATCAACAAGGGATGTCTTTCCATTTGCTGAGATTATCTTCAATTTCTTTTTCAGGGTAGTATAGTTTTCCCTGTATAGATTTTTAATTCTTTCATGAGATTAATTCCTAAGTATTTCCTTTTTTTTTGTATGTTACTGCAAAGAGTGTGGCTTCTCTGCTTTCTCTCTCCGTAATTTTGTTGTTAGTGTATAGGAATGCTATTGATTTTTGAGTGTTGACTTTGTATCCAGCTATATTGCTGAACTGATTTATTATATCTAGGAATCTATCAATGGAGTTTTGGGGATTTCCTATGTAGAATATCATGTCATCTGCAAATAATGATAATTTTACTTCCTCTTTTCCTATCTCACTCCTTTTATTTTCTCTCTTATCTAATTGCACTGGCTAGTATTTTAGGTTCTATGTAGAATGGAGTGGTGATAAGGCAAATCCTTGTCTTGTGCCTGATTTTAAGGTAAAGGCCTTCAGTTTTTGGCCATTTCATATATGCTGGCTGTTGGTTTGTCATAAATGGCCTTTATTATATTGAGATAAATACCATCTACTCCAATTTTCTGTTTGGTTCTTATCATGAATGAGTGTTGGACCTTATCAAAATCTTTTTCTGCATCTATAGAAATAAGAATATGATTCTTACTTATCTCTATTGATATGGTAGATTACATTTATTGATTTATGTATGTTGAATCATCCCTGCATGCCTGGAATGAATCTTACTTGGTCGTGGTGTATAATCTTCTTGATGACTTGCTGCATCCTGTTTACCAATATTTTATTGAGGATTTTTGCATCTATGTTCATTATGGAGATTGGCCTATAGTTCTCTTTTTTAGTTGGGCCTTTCCCAGGTTTTGGTACTAGAGCAATATTTGCTTCAAGGAATGACTTAGGAAGAATTGCTTCCCTTTCTATTTCATTAAAGAGTTTGAGGAATGTTGGCATTAACTCTTCTTTGTATTTCTTGTAGAATTCCACAGAGAATCCATCTGGGCCTGGACTCTTTGTAGGTAAGGACTTACATTTTCAACTTCATTAATAGAAATCAGGTAATCCAGCAGTTTTAATTCTTCTTGACTTAGCTTTGGTAGTTCACATGTTTCTAGGAATCTATCCATTTCTTCTGTGTTATGGAACCTATGAGAGTAGAGGTTTTTGAAATAGGTGTTGATGATCTTATGTCTGTAGTGATTTCACCTTTTTCATTCTTTATTGCATGAATTTGAGCTCTTTCTTTCCTTTTTAAAATAAGGTTTACTAGGGGCTTATCAATTTTATTTATTGTTTCAAAGAACCAACTTTTTGATTCATTGATTCTTTGGATTGGTGTCTTAGTCTGTATTGTATTAGTTTCTGCTCTGATTTTTATAATTTCCTCTCTTCTTTTGGCTTTGGGCTTGACTTGTTCTTCTTTTTCTAGATGTTTGAGGTATAGCATCAGGTCATTTATTTGTGTTTGTTCTGTTTTCCTGATGTGCAAACTAAGTGCAATAAATTTTCCTCTGAGGACTGCTTTCAT